GCCAACACCAAAGGAGCCAACACCAAAGGAGCCAACACCAAAGGAGCCAACACCAAAGGAGCCAACACCAAAGGAGCCAACACCAAAGGAGCTAACATCAAAGGAATTAATACTAAAGGAGCCAACTCTAAAGCTAACTCTAAAGGTTCGGTAACCGCTACAACAACAATATTTACCATCATTTATTTTACTGATTTAGGTTTTTTTACTGATCTCCCTAATTCAGGTTCTACTTCCACTGACACCATTGGTCTAGATCCAACTACCACTGATTTCAGTTCTTCCACTGATCTCCCTACTACAACTGATATTACTAATTCAGATTCTACCACCACTGATTTTACCGATTCAAGTTCTCCTACTGGCACCTTTACTACTGATACCACTGGTTTAGATCCAACCATTACTGATTTCAGTTCTTCTACTGATCTCCCTACTACAACTGATATCACTAATTCAGATCCTACCACCACTGATTTTACCGATTCAAGTTCTCCTACCAACACCTTTACCACTGATACTACTGATTTAGATCCAATTACCACTGATTTCAGTTCTCATACTGATCTTCCTAATTCAGATCCTACTACAACTGATATTACTAATCCAGATCCTACTACCACTGATTTTGCTGATTCAAGCTCTCCTACTGACACCTCTACCGCTGATATCACTAGTTTAGATCCTGATTTCAGTTCTCCTACTGATCTTCCTCATTCAGATCCTACTACTGATATTATTAATTCAGATCCCACCACCACTGATTTTACTTATTCAAGTTCCCCTACCGACACTTCTACCACTGATACCACTGATACCAATGGCACAAACGACACCACTGATACCAACGGCACAAAAGACACCACCGATAACAATGACACCACTGACCTTCCTAATTCAGATCCTACTACAACTGATCTCCCTAATTCAGATCCTACTGCAACTGATTCAAGTTCTCCTACCGACACTTCTACCACTGATACCACTGACACAAATGATACTACTAATAACAATGATACCACTGACACAAACGATACCACTGACACAAATGACACTACTAATAACAATGACACCACTGAAACAAACGATACCACTGATACCAACGACACAAATGACACTACTAATAACAATGATACCACTGACACAAACGATACCACTGATACTAACGACACAAATGACACTACTAATAACAATGATACCACTGACACAA